AGGTGAGTTAGAGAGTTCCTCTCGCTATATCCCTGCCTGCTTCAACACTGACTATTACAGTGTGGTATTTGAGGTTGGCGATGGCCTGAAGGGGTACTAGTAAGGCTCCGTTACTACTTTACTAACTGTTGGTACTAACTCGGAAGTTGTCCAAAGTGGCTGTTTCAGCATTAATGGCAATGCTGTGAATGCCGGCCTTGCATAGGGAATCCACATTCTGCTGACCGAGTTGGTTCAGGGGGGTCATAACTATTTGGATCCCTTCCAGGCAAAAAAGCAGAGGCAACCAGAAGGTGAGAGTCTTGTCCATTCCTGTTCCCACAATGCATACTATGTCTCGGTCCCCCTTCAGAAATCCTTTTGCAATTTTTAGCTGCCACAGACATGGCCTTTTGGGAAAGACTTGATGGGCCTTGTCACGTATGGCAGCAAGTCTAGTGGTTTCAAAAGGCAGAGCAGGCACTGACATGCTCACACCATCTTTGTAATTATCTATATGACGTGCAAATATTCACATTTTCCTATGTTCCTTTGAACTCCACTGTCCATGCCGATGTTTTGCTGCTGTGGCTTACAAAGTTTATAAATGTTATCTTCCAGCCGCTGCATGAGAGATCAATAAATAAAGTTGGTGGTGTTTCAATTTGCACATGATTCATGCATGGGTTCCAAAAATAACACAACCACTTGGATTTTGCCTAAGTCCACCGTGCCCTACTAGCAGACTGACTCGACCTCTCCAGCAGCGGTGGGAAGGAGCCTGCTAGAAGAGCATCATTGAATATTAAGGAACTTGAAGAGCCACCATGATTCATGATGGGCATGTATCAATCCTAGGGTGGTAGGATGCTACCAGGATGATACCAGGATGAAGGTGCTTTAATTGATATTGATCACAGGCATGCCATGAATCATGGTGCTTACAAACAGACAGAAGTGTAACAGGTTGAAAAACTCTAGGTAGGGCAAAATGATTGCCCACTGGCTGGATTGAACAACCGACCTCATCATTTCTATCTGTTACAAGTGACGCGCTCTACCACTGAGCTAAGCGGGCTTGCAATGTGGGGCGTCCTCTATGCATTGAACAAGTAGGATCAGCTCAGTCGAATCTGACAGCGAGACCATCTGTAAGCAATACGAACACAATCACACAGGAGGAGCCGATGAAAATTTCTGCTTGTACAGTGACATCTCGGCGGGATCCAGGATCTCACTTCCATGATATGTCAAATCCACTCTTGCGTTGTTGCTTTCCTTCGTACTCGTGGAATGTCTGGGTTATGTGTCACGCTTCTCTTCGATCAGCTGTCCGACGCATCGAGCTTGGTCTGGGTTCGCGCAGAGGGTGAAGAAACGGAGGTTGAGGATACTCACCAATTAATTCTTGATCTACTCATACTTCTTTCTCGTCTGCCGCGTCTGCGGACCCCTCCCTGCTATCCAGGACTAACTCAAGGTCACGGAAGATGGAGGTGGACCGATCTTGGATTTTCAGTAAAGAAAAAGAAAGGTGCTAGAAGCGCGTGTGAGAGCATGCACTTTCCAAGTTCCATTCCACTCGATGCATCCCATCATCCTCTGGCTACGAGTTTGTTTAAACTTACGTGAACAACAGACTTGGGTCCAGATCACCTATGCGGCCCACACCTTCGCAATCAGCTCCGTCAAACCTGATAAGAGTGTGAGTTCGCACGACGTTGGGACACCTGATGTTATCCTACCAATGTCGTTGGTGTTGAACTGGTAAACGCCGACGAGGACGCCGACGGTAGCGGTCCTGAGTGTCCATGTTATGACGGGCCCAATGATGGGGAATTTACGCTTGTGGAGATAGTCGACAACCATAGAGTCAAACTGGGAGGTGGGTTAGTGACACTAAGCGGGTGATCAATAAGGGGCGCGTACTCCGATGTGACTGTGCATCACTAACGAAATGCCCAGGAGACCGTCGAGAACGGGGTAAGCGGTCCCCGAGGTTGCAAATGCTGCAGCGGTCATGGGTACCAAAGTCGCAGACAGAAGGCGTTCGAATGCCCAGTGGTAGGAACCGTGAGTCTTGGAGGGTGGTGGGAATGTCGTTGGGTCATTGACAGTTCCCTGGTATATGGCTAGAAATTGTGATTCTTTAGATGTGTGATCGAATAGGATTAGTGGCGAAGACTTACGCCCACCAGGAACATAGTGCGTAGTTGAACTAGAACTGTGTCTCACTATAAAACACTTGGGTATTGGTATTGTAGGAGATTGAGAGGTGGGAAAAGTGTGATACCTTGAGGAGCGGATCGCAGAACAATGCGGCTGGTGGTTGAAGCGAAAGTTTTTGGCAATGTCAAGCGTAGGAGAAATATAGATGCCGACATCGTCTTTGAGTATGTTTATGAAAATAAGGGAGTGGAGGAAAGCCAACGTTCGGTGTGGCGGAGAGATGGGTGACGGCGTGGGCTTGAGTGCGGGATGCTGACAAGCGTGAGCCAATCACATGCCTCCGGTTACAACCCCCACTCGACGCAGCGGTAGCCGCGCCTTCATCGATATCCTTGACGACGATTTTGACTTTGTCCCGACTGTTGCTAGCTGTTGCCCAGCTTTGGCACCCAACTTCCTTCTTATCTTGGACCCTCCATCAACATCTGATGTACTGACATATTATCACCGAAAGTGCCAAGAAGCGGGGAACGTTGAATGACCTTCCGATTTTTCGACCAGCTCTTTACCTGTAGGTTGTTGTGACCGTCTTGGACGAACCACTAACGTTTAACGTTTAACGTTGGTCCCCAAGGTAGACCATAAAGATGAAGGTGGTACCACGAAATGCGCTCATTTGTTGCAAGTTATGCCCGATCGATCCGGAAATATTGGTGCTTCTATAATAACGCTGATCGATGTGGAGTGCTTGCAGTTTTGGATCTCAGAGGGTATGTTCATCCTCCGTTGCAATAACATAGGTCAATCCATGCATCCAGCTAATATTAATGATGAATACCAGCTTGGCTGTCGCTCCAGAGCTTTCCACCTAGGCCTCGGTACACAGCGGTGCTCAGCGCTCAGTCAACATTCAAAATTGATGGCGATACAGCGTGCTATACTGGGAATAATTGATCCCGGTTTTTATCTCAGTTTGTTTACGACGGCATTCGATCCATATGGAATTTATGATGGTCTCACGTCGTGGAGCAGAACAGCCCGTTGTCCCAGCTTTTTCACTTCTCCCAACTATCTAGCACTCTGATCGATGTACCCACATTGGTTTTCTCAACGCCGTGCTAGAGCTCTTGCACTCGCGGTCCTCGGTTTCTTGACCTTAGATGTCGTCAAGGCCGGGAATACGACATGTGCTGGAAATTTGACGGATTGGTGAACTTGGTTTCTCTTTGTACGTTCTCGTGTCGTTGCTAATATCGAGCAGGTATACCAACGCTGTTGGCGAGACAGCTTGTAAGACCAGCGGTCCGTTCTGTTCCAAGTGACTTCGACTGACTGTCCTCGGATGAAGGCGAAACATACCAGCGGCTGAGGCAAATATGCAATCCCCAGTGTAAGTGAAGTTGTCTGAAGACCCGATTTTAGTCTTTGACTTTACATGTGCAGATCAGGTCCCCTCTTTCCGTGCAAATACCCCAGGCGATCAATGCGACGACCAGCTGCGTATGGTGTCCGTGTCTGCCTCCCTTGTCCGCCACTGACATCTATCTACAGATGACTGCTGTTGCAACTCCATCTCGTGGGCGTTGAGCATGCTGTGCATGAAGTGCGCAACCACACTGTTTTCCATCCCGCTTATATCGTTCTTACGACGGTTTACAGCTGTCAGTGGGACGTTTTAGGTGGCTCATCGATCGGCATAGACGCCGGTTCGTACAAACTTTTTTCGGTGCCTTCTAGTGCTTAACATGTTGCTCTTCCAGGCGTAGGTGCCTACGCGATGTACCGTGCACCTACCGGGGCCTTCTGTAGCCCGGGCACGAACCAATCGTACGCACGATTCCTCACCTCACGGAGCAATGCTGATCCACGGAACAGACTTCCAGCCGATATCCAGACCGCTGCCTGCAACGCTGGCATCAAGTTGGACAACTTTTTGTACGAACTATTTTGGACAGATGGTTCATGGTACTTGTGAATTCCAAAATCTTCCGAGACGTCGTCTGAATGTCGTTTTCTCTAGGTTTTTGTGAGTCGACGTGTAATCCCGCATCAAGCTACTGACTTCTAGGATCGAGTTCAGTGTTTATACCATGGACACCGCAAGTCGGGATCAGGTTGAAAATAATAACAACACCTTTACCCACTGTAATTCTACGACATCCACCACGTCTTCAGCCCTGCCGTCGACATCTGCTTCTGGTTCAACATCTCCGTCCAGCTCCGTACCAACCGCAACACAGGTCACGTCGTCCTCCCAGTCTTCGCACCCATCCACCGCTAGTATAGCTGGAGGCACCATCGGTGGAGTAGTCGGATTAGCATTACTTCTAGGGCTCGCTTTTACTTGTTGGAGGAAGCGCCGAGTGCACCAAGCTCTACCAACAACAGATATCGACGCACCGGCAACTTCAACGACGTCCATGCTCTCGCCATACCCTCTGACATCCCCAAGTAAGCACAAAAAAACCCACCTCACACTCCCCTCTCGTTCGTATTCGTATTCGTATTCGTTCTGCTCACGCCCCATACATTCAAGGTTCCGCCGGGTATGCCAATGCATCCTGGACAGGCAGGCACCGCCAGACGGAGAGTAACGTTTCCTCGAGCGTCGGTCCGTCGGCGTCAGAAAGGGGAACCGCGTACCCCTCGCCAGGCTCTTCGGATATCATGCAGTTACCTGTCTCCGCTCGGCACGAAGACCTCGGCCCCGTCCTTCCAGCTCTGACTCGCTCGTCGTCTGGTAGGCTCCCACCTGCTTACGATGCACAGTGGGACGCACGGGACAGACGACGTCCTCTGCCTCAGCCAACTGGTATACCCGCCACCGAGTCACCCGTGCAAAACTTGGAAAAATAGACGTTGGCTTGGTCGTGTGATATGTTACACTTGGGCGTTGAATATCTGACGGACAGTTATTTGCTTTTTTAAAATTTAATTATTCATATTGGATTGAATCGTCATATCGCTGCAAGAAACAACAAGGATGGAATGGGTGGAGTCAGGCCATCAGTAAAGTCACAACGGTCTTAATGGCACCAAGTCATACCAACCTAGCCAGCATGCCTAGGAAAACCAATGTAATACTAATGTAGTGTATTCGACATGTCAACCTGACATCTAAGCCCCCTAAGACATTAGCGTACATACCCAAACCACGGGTCAAGCACGCACACAAAAACCACAAGACACCACTTCAACACACAGAACTCAAGCAGAAAAGTTCATCAACTTCCTCTTGTATTCCCCAAGTCGTGCTCGCCTCGCTTGCAAATGGTCTCGCTTCAGAGCGACAGCCTACTAACAAATGAACCAACAGCTTACATAAGTCGGAGTCTATCAAAAATCCCACAAAGGAATGCTTACCCCTCATTCTTCACCTCTTCTTCGATAATCCACCTCTCAGAAATGAAGTTCCAAAAGACAGAACTCAATGATCTATATGTTGACATAAGTGAGTATATGGTGACCAGGGGGGGAGAAATACCTGAGTCCCAAGAGGATTACTTCAAGGTTTGGTGCACAGGCTTGGAGGTCATGCCAGGCTGCTGAAATCTTTTACAGAATGTCCTTATGGGTGTCCAGATTGCAATGAACTGGATGTTAGAAGATCAGATAGAGTATATTTTCCCCATTGCCAGGCAAGAAGCCAAACCAGCTTCTGTGTGGATCAACAAGTGGATGGAGACAAGGAAGAAGAAAAGTAGGTCAGGATCCTGTCAGAATTACAACCACCCTGATGGCATTTTCATTCCTCCAGATGATCAAAGCAGCTCCTTGTCAGGCACCCCTGCAGACCAGCCACAGGTAAGTGAGATGCTTGGAGAATTGTACTCATTCAGAAGTTTTCTTCTTTGCATGTAGGCATCTCAGCCAACAGATCAGACAGAGAAGATGGAATCAGAGGAGCCC